CCCTGTTGCATAGAAAAATCTACTTGATGTCTATTTCTGCCTTACTCTTCTGTAGGTTCTATCTCACTTTTCACCCTTCAGGAAAGCCTATTTTACACTATAAAATTTCAGAAAAGTGTGCTGAAGAAATTGAAGAGACTCACTGGGGCTGTGAGGGTTCAACTCAATAGGGCTGGGGACAAGTAAAGCCATTCCTTGGAAAGAAGAGCATGAACGAAAGGGTGCAGTGGGATGGAGGCCCTTCCGTTAGACATGCTTATGAGAAAGAATACTTGTTTCAGAGTCCATAGGGGATAATAGTTGGTAAGGGACAGGAGGACCCAGTGGTCACATCCTTCAGTTTACGTCATTTACATTTTGGACTCTAGATAATGAGGAAACAGTGGAAGTTCTTGACCTCCAGACTGTAGTGACAAATTGGTGGGTGGGGGAGTCTTAGGAAGGGTGTTGGAGATCTTAGATTAGAATAATGTAGCAGGCGTGGACTGCCGAACACTTGGTTGGGCATGATTGCCCCTCAGACATTTTCCTTTTCAGTATATTTTTAAAATACTATTTGTGGGAAGTATCACCATGGCTTCATTCAAAAAATTCATCCCAGACTCTTGGTATCCTTTTATATTTGACTCTGGAATGATTGCTACATGTGGGATTCCCATAAATTTATTAAATGCCTTAAGTGATATTGGTACTTTTTTTCCTAGTTGTGTGTGGCTCAAAAATTTTTTAAAGCATTATGTTCAGAAGCAACATATTAAAGGCTCAGCACTTAGCAAACTTATTTTTAGAGAAAGTCTACCCTTAGTTTTTTTCTTTTGTTTTGTGTCTTTTTAGTCTGCCCTCATCTTTGAGAAAATACTTTAGCAAGTGTAATGGACCAATGCAACACCAAAATCTATTCTGGAATTAAGTTTGTAAACATAAGTAGCTTATTTTTGCAAACTATTGTAAACTTTATCAGGGCTGAAGGCAGGACTCAAATGGTAGAACCCCTGCCTAGTAAGCATGAAGCCGAGTTCAAACCTCAGTACAAAAAAAAAAAAAATTAAAAAAAAAGATTAAAAAGATCTGCCTCCAAAATTTATTTTCATACCATACAGAATTGCATCCCTGGGAAGCCATGATAATGATCTATGGGTTTGATGTAAATCTTTTATTTTTCCTTCAACTGACCCTTGACAAGGGAGTAAGGGAGTGTGGTTTAACTCCAGCCTAAGAAGACATTTCCCAAAGCACTCAATGGGAGGGAGAAAACATATCAGATCAGAGCCAAGGAGAGAAATGGCTGATCCTAGTCCTGCAACGAAAGGCATGACCCCTGGACTCTGGAGCATTAATATCTGTAGCATCTGAAGGTGTTTTCTTTCCCACACTAATTCCCCCAAGTCTAGAGAAAAATGTAGAGGCTGGATGTGGCTGTGCTTTGGGGAATTAAGGGAAACACCTGTGTCTTCACTGGCCTGAGGCAGCACAGAGAGTGGCCCAGAGCAAGGCAGGGAGAGGATGGCAATCTGAGTGGGTGGTGGAGCACCTGGGTGTGTCTTTAGTGCCTACCAACACTATCATTATTGGTGTTAGAAGGTACAGATATTCTTCAGAAGCTCAGAAATATGGAGATAGGCCAAAGAAGGCACTTCCTGGAGTTAGCCACACAGAATACAGAATTTTACCTTTGAACCTTGGAGATTTTAAGCCCTTCCTACCTTCTTTCTCCTGCCCACGTTAAAAGTGCCACTTCCCTATGATAATCTTCCCAACTTGACTTCAGCCTTCTTTATGTGGGCTTTGGAATGTCTATACCTATTAGGATTTACATGAGAAATTACAAATATCTCCATTTTCTAAAAATATTTTCAAGAACACCCATTCAAACACCTGTCCTGTGTTTTTAGTCTTAAATCTGGTCATATAACCCTGAAGGTTATACCAAACAAATAGCTAAAAATGAAAGCCTATTTAAAACCTCCTTATTTGTTATAACTTTTATTGTCAAATTCTGACAAATCTTGAAGCAGCTTTATTGTTTCTCAACTATCTACCTGTCTTTTGGTCTTTAACAAACTCTCTAAGTCAGCTAAGACTATAAGTCATGAATCATGATTCCTTTATACTTAGATTTTAAATATGTGATGCTTATTAGCTTTTCATCATCATCATGTGCAGTAAGGAAAAGTTTTCCTTCTGTAACTCCTCAGTTCTCCACTGAAGTGCTTCTCAGTAGAAATTCGGTACATCTTTTCAAGTGTCTATTGAACAAGTTTACATTTGGAGGCCTTCCATTGCCTTTTCAACCTTATTCTCAAAACTCCTCAGGTGTCTACTATGGCGTTGATAGTGTGGTTTCTCATATGAATTTTGATCTTTTGGAATAAAACCTGGATTGATTACGAGAATCCATCTAGGTACTGTGTAGCCTGGTTTTCCTACCTGTTTTATGAATAGTCATGCATCCATACCTGTAGGTCTCATTTGGATTTTGCTCGGAAGTTTAGTTTTTTGTCCCACACAAAGTAACTAACATAGTCCTTGAAAGCAGAAACTAACTCTTCTGCTTCCTTTGCTTCCTTTTTATTCATACAAGGTGGGCAGTTAAAAGAGGGGCACGCAGCAGGTGTGTCCTTGCAACTGATGCTTAGGAACATCCCTGAGACTCAGAACATTCATTTGGCCCATAGCAATAGTACACCTTCAAAAGACTGCAGTTGTGGCATGCTGAGGGACTAGCAACCCTCATAGTGTAAGGCTGACTTTGTTAAATCATTCCCTTGGTCTGCACTTACAGAGTACCAACATAAAACGAGAGGTGCCATCAGAACTACGTAAGATGCTAACCTACTACTCCATGTAGTATGTTCTTTTTGTTGTTTGTTTTTGAGACAAGGTCTTGCTGTGTAATGCAGGCTGGCCTTGAAGTTACTCTGAAGCCCAGGGGGGGCCTCAAACTTTTGATCCTCCTATTTCAACCTCCTGAGTGCTGGGATTACAAGTGTGTACCACCACACCCATTCTGGTAGGTTCTAGATAGAGGTCAGCATCCACTTGTAATGGTTTTGTTTTCATAGAGACAATGAGAAAGAAGCCATGCTCTGGACAAATAAGGACATACCAAATGTCTTCCCTCAAATTTTACTAAAGGAAAGGGATTAAAAAGGAAACTGAGAACATAGGCTGGGGAAAGACACAAGTTCCATCACTTATCTGACAGCACTGTTTTTTGTCACTGTCTTCTCATGTACAAGGTGGGATTTTTACAGGGCAATTGGGAAGATTAAGACAATGAATGTAAAGTGTTTAACACAGTACCTAGCACAGCATAGGTAATATTAAATTATATTTCCTTTGTACTTACTTCACAGAGAAATAACTAACCCTGATAGCTCTATTGTTTTGCCTTGTATCAACAAATGTATCAACTAAATGAAGGAAATAATAAAGAAAAAATAAAAATATAAAAAAGGAAATATGCAGGCCAGGTGTGGTGGTTCACACCTGTTATTCCAGCTACTCAGAAGGTAGAGACAGAAGGATCATGAGTTCAAGGCCAACCCAGGCAAGATTAGTGGATTTCTATCTCAAAAACAAAGTGAAAAAAAAAATGGGCTGGAGATGTGACTCAAGATCAAGTGGCAGAGCACTTGCCCAGAAAATATGAGCCCTAAGTCAATCCCCAGTACTGAGGGAAAAAAAAGAAAGGAAGGAAGAAAAAGAAAAATACATACTTCAGACATGAACTCAGCATTATGCAACCTTGCCTAGGTTTCTCCCTATCTCCATGTACCCAAAACAAAGATGATCACGCCTCTCTGGATCACATATAAGCACTTGTGAAGATCACCCAACAAAAAGAGACCCTTTGTTAAGGACTTTTTTTTTTTTAAAAAAGGAGAAAATGTTTATTTTGGCTCATGGTTTCAGAAATTTGATTTCATGGTTGCAGTTGACACCATTGTTTTTGATGCTGTGGAAAGGCAGAATATCATGATGGGGGACATGTGGTAGGCAAAGTTGCTCACCAGGAAAGAGAGGGAGAGAGAAGCGGGGGGAGGAGAGAGAGAGAGGGAAAGAAAGAAAGAGAGACTCTTATTAAGGACTTATAAAGCCTAAAGTGATGCCTCATCTGAAAACAGGGAATTAGATTCTTTTTTAAATTTTTTCTTTTAATGATCCATATTCACAAATTTACAGCTCATGTCATACCAAAACTGGCACATTATTACACATAGAGAGAGCACTTTAGCAATCTGCTTGAAATGTTAAGAAAGCTCTTAGAAAAGCACATGATTCTAGCTGGGCATGAAGTGCATGTCTATAATCCCAGCACTAAGGAGGTGGAGGCAGGGGCATCACAAATTTGAGGACAGCTTGCGCTAGTCTCAAAAAATTTAGAAATACATGGTTCTGTTACATGCAATCTGTGCTGAAGTTATAAGCATCATCCCTGTTAGTCATTTTAACCAAAATAAAAGATCTTGCAGATGGTTCCCTTGTGTAGATTCCTCAGGCTAGGTACTCTTATATTAAAATCTGCTTATTTCATGAATGTACTTCACAGGGCAAACTAAAACAGCACAGCCATAAACAACTTTCTGAATATAATATGTAGTTGTGATTGGGATGAAGAATCCTGGCAATGCAGTCTCTCCATGCAGAGGTAGGATTGTATGTCATAGTGGGTGTAAGATGATATTATATAAAAATAGGAACTCAAAAATTGCCCAAGTGAGACAGGACATACATAGGTGTCATCTGCAAGAAAAGTTTAATTAAAATTATTTCATGAAAATGGAAAAAGTAAAAATTTTTACATATGAGTTTACAAATGTATATATACTCATGTACTAAAATAAGGTAGAAGAAAATCTCTCATCTCATATTATTAATGCATTTCTATAGACTAAAGAGTCCTGATCAGAGACTCTGTGGCATTAATGCCCAATTCAATTTCACTGTACTGAGCTTCCTTCACGCCAATTTGCATATTAGCTATATTGGACTTGTTTCTACAAACACTCATTTTCTGCCTCTTGTTCTTCTTGTCCTTTATACACTTTCTGTTCTGGTGCATTCTCTTCTGGGTTGTCTTCTAAGTTGTTCGCTGAGCACTGGGGTGCCTCCATTCCAGCCCCAAGGCCAGCAACAATCATTAGACCTAAAAATAATACTAAGAGAAACAGAGGGAACACATATACTGCCTTGCCAATGTTTTGTTTCTCATTGTTCTCACCACCACTGTGCTCGTCACGACGACCAATACTATGACTTCCACCTTCATTTTCAGTTGGCAATCCATCGTGTGGTTTGCCAGCAGGGCCACTGTCCACACTGCCTCCATTTCCTGGATTTCTGCAGTCAGGAGGAGCAAAGCCATCATCACAATGGCAGTGCCTTAAATTGTTGCAGACTCCTTTCCCATGACACATTACTTCTGGTTTGCAGTCATAATGGAACACAGCATCATCAGTGCAGGTGTAACCCATGCAGACTTTGCTTGGGGCACAATAAGTGCCATTCTGCACCTCTCCATAATCAGGGATGTCAGTAGTGTTATAGGCATCCATGCTCCAGCACCAGTCATCTGCATGAGCAACCCGGATCATTGTATGTTGGGATTGGATTTGTGGCAAGTATTTAACATCTGTACATATAAGTTTTCCACAAAATATGTTATCGCCTGTACATGTAACATATGCCCCATTCTCACGGCCACAGTTCCCAAATCGGTTGCCTTGACTGTTCATTGAGAGGTAACAGTTGTCTGGGGCAGACCTTGCAGTGCGTCCAAATATGTGGAGGCACTGCTTGTCAGGGTTCTTACATTGGCCCCCAGAGCAGTAGTAAATTCTGTCACACACAGTGCCATCTTGCTTGTAGCTATCTGCAGGGCATTCTTCAGAACTGCCTTCACAGTACTCTGGGAGATCACACTCATCCTGAGCAGGACGACATAAAACCCCTTTTCTTCTGAAATTGCACTGGTGGCAACAGAGTCCATCACTACAGTATGCGTGCACCTTCAGTGTACATGTTGGTTCACAGCATGGGTGACCGTCACAGGCACTGCCACAGTCACACTGCTCCGAGTCCTCCACCACACCATTTCCACAAGTGGAAGCCCTGCGCTTGCGGCTTTTGTGACGTGGCTTGTTAAACAGGCAAGCCCCTTTGTGTTCATGAAGGAAATGGTAGAAGTAGTCAGCGCTGCAGTTGCTGAAGCCACTTTCCTTAGTAATATTTTCACGCATGAGGCAAAAGTGCTTATCTTTACAAATGCAGGCCGAGTGGTCATGCCGGATCCCCAGGTTGTGCCCGAGCTCATGGACCATGAGTGCTGCAAACAGGAGGACGTCTTCATGGTGGAAGGACTCCACAGCTGCCGCAAAACCACTTGAACAGGCACCGTTGAGAAATGCCTGGCCCGTGTGCCCTCCAGGATGCTGTCCAACGATCATGTGGGCAACATCGTGCTTCACTCGGTGGAAGAGCCTCTCTTGTCTCCAGCTATTGAAACTCCTCAGTGTAACTTGCAGGTCCTCTGGGACCTCTATCAGGTCCCCCTCAGTCCAGATCTCCATTCCAGCCAGCACCACCTCTGTGTTTATTCCCCTAGTGAAACCGTTGGCCAGAGCAATGATGTCCACTACTCCCCGGACTGTCTCGTTGATGTTGCTGCCCCACATCTGGAACCGCAGGTTGTTGACCACGACAAACATCTCCACGTATTTGGTGTGTGACCACAAGTAGGACAGCGCCCGTAGGTTAGGAGGCTTCCTGCTCCCTTGTTGCTGGTTGGCGGACACCACCTGGCTGTCTTTGGAGGTGACATTACAGGAGACTCGAGCTTGATGTGCCATGGTGTATAGGACGTGTTCAAAGCGCTTGGAAGAGAGCACGGGCTCAATGCCATAGGATGTTTTCTCCATATTCAGGAGGCCCCTGAGGCCTGAACAGGTGTTAACAGAGACAAAAGACTGCGGCACTCCTTCTATGTAGCCTTCATAGTGGCAGTCTTGTGACATGAAGGGCATTTCTTTTCCCAGGATGCCATTGTGGTAACTGTAGATGGGAAAGTTATCCACAAAATAGTCTCTCTTCAACCTCAGGTGAACCACCTGCTCGTGGCCTTGCATAAGTAGCATATAGGATGCCTTTTGTACTGGGTCCTCACTTTCCATGGGCGTCAGACTCTCGGGGATGATTATTTCGTAGGAAGAGTAATGCACCGATTCCATGTCACAGTGTATGTTTGGGAGAAAAATGATCCCTAAGAGCAACGTGGCTACCATCCTGACACGAGAATGCCCCGGCATTAGCGCCAGCCTCAGACCCTTCATCTGGGGAGCCCAAGTCTGAAGCACTCCCCAAGCCTCATTCAAAGCCACCTGGAGTTTCTGTAGAAAGCACAGGAAGGAGACCAAGTGTCTCACTGAGGCCATCACTGACATGGCCCTAGTGAATCAGTTGCTGCTTTGGGGCCTGTGTCCATCAGCAGCACTGTCCGTGGCACGGAGCCCTCAGACCCAGGCATCAGCCCTAGATCTATGCCGGGTGAATAGATGGTGGTCCCGTCTCACCTCTGAAAGATTAGCTTTCGGCCTGGGTCTTATCCTAGTGTTTCTGATCTCTCCGATATCTTTCACACAGTTTCCATTCTGGTGACTTCCTCTTTCAGCATCAGCTCAGGTGCTCTGTCACTAAAGCCCTTTTGACATGGCGGAGGGGTGTACCACGAAGGACCGCAACTCTGTAACTCAGGACTGTACCTTGAGAGAGGACAAAAATTTCTACTCCGTCCTCAACGGGACCACACGGAACACCCCTCCCCCACACGTACCCCACCCTTCCAGTCGTCCGTTGCTCAGCTAACTCCAAATGTTCCAGACCAGGGGCTAGGAGATAACTTTGGTGGGCACACTCCATTACCCATTTCCTCTTTTAAACCCCTGGCTCTGTGGCACCTGGGCATCCTAACCCAGGGTAGTCTTTCCCACTCAATGAGGCATTGTATGTGTATGCATTTGAAGACCAGTCTAGTAGGTCACGCTAATGAGGTGACTACCGTGCGCCCCAACATAGACCCCCGCTGGGGAAAGGACAATAGTCATTTTTTCCCACATCATCAAAATTCAGTCTCTCAAATTTTATCTCTGTCTAGAAGCCCAATGCACTCTCTCTCGCACCACAGAGCCAAGGCCAAATTCTGTTTCTCACACTGGCCAAAAGTGCGTATACAAGATGCTGACCATTGTCCTCCTCTTACAAGTGATTACCACGGTCACATTGGTTGTCATCTCCGAACCACACTTCCTAAGAGTGACCCAGACTCACTGGTATGCTAAGATTATATGTATCTTTGGAGTTGTTTTGTTTTGTTTGGTTTGAGATAGGGTCTCTCTGTGTAGCCCAGGCTGGCCTCAAATTTTGGGTCCTCCTGCCTCAGCCTCTCAAGTGGTGAGATTATAGACACATGCCACCATACCCAGCCAGACTATGTCTGCTCAAACCTATGTGTCCTGTGTCTCTCCCTTGTTGGGATATAATGTCCATGTTTGCAGGGACCACTTCCACTTGCTCATCCTGACCCTGCCACCCCATCCCCTGGGTCAGAAGAATGTTTGTCCAACAGCAGGTGGACAAGAACTTTGTTTTGAATGAATAAGTGACCCCTAGGTACAAGTGGCACAGCGTTTTGTCTGTTGTATAGCATTTGTTTCTACTTGCTTGTGCCTACCCTGGTGGCTAAAAAGGTCTTCGGGAAAAACTCACATGCTGACTAATACACATTTATAATATCCAAATTTACCCCCTACTACCTCTTGGTGGTCAGTTCACTCACTAAATTATTCTTGCCTCATGTCACTGAAAAAGAATTGGTAGCAACGAACAGATCACTTCCATTTGTGTAGCCCCCAGATGAGTCTGCCTGTATCTAAATTTTCCTCCAGTTACACCGAGTGAATTGTCCATGGCCCTAGGTAAAGGCAGTCCATTCTCTTACATGTGGATCCCCTGGATTTTTGTTTCTCATGAAATTTACCCTTTTTTTGTTTTTTTTTCCCTTCCGGAAGTACTGGTGGTTTGAACTCAGGGCCTCACTCTTGCTAATCAGGTGCTCTTCCACTTGGCCACACCCCCAACCCTTTTTGCCTTGGTTATTTTTGGGATAGGGTTTCACACATTTTTTGGAGGCTCACCTGAACCGTGATCCTCCTATTTACATGTTTCATGTAGCTGGGATGACAGGAGTGTCCCACCACACCCTTCTTTTTTCCTGTTGAGATGTAGGGGGAGGAGGGAGTCCATTGTACTTTTTGCCCTACCTGGCTTTGAACCTCGATCCTCCTGATCTCCACCTTCAAGTAGCTGGCATTGCATTGTGAGCCATGAGCCCTGGCTTTTTTTTTTTTTTTTTTCTGTTTGGGTATTGAACTCTGGACTTCACAGTTGGTAGGGAAGAGGGAAGAGCTCTACTCTTTAGGCCACACCCCAGCTGTGGACCTCCCTTTTCTAATTGTCTTTTCATGTCTATAACATGTTTGTCTATTGGACCAACATCCCTGTATGCTGTAGTAGCTTTCCTAATAACACCGTTCCTTTTGGCCCACATCACTCTCCAGTAGCCATCCAAATCTTGCCTTGTTTCATAATGAATGTCTTTGAAAAGTGTACACCGTCCTGTGTCCATTCTTCATCTCCTAATGTCTGGTTTAAGATTGTCTTCTTTTTGGTGGTGCTGGCATCAAACCAGCCACACGTTAGCCAAGCACTCTATCATTGAGTTGCATCCCTAGCTCGTAATACTTTTAAAAATGGTGAAAAATTGTGTTTTGTTTTTATTGTTTGCTTTTCAGGTTTAGTGTTACTAAGGCTGAACTAAGGGCCACATGCTTGCTAGGCAGGCACGCTACCACTTGAGGTACTCTGCTAGCCGTTTTTGTGTTGGTTATTTTTGAGATAGGGTTTTGCATTTTGCCTGAGCCCACTTGGACAATAATCCTCCTATTTATACTTCCCTCATTAGTGGGGGATTACAGTTGCATATCACCACACCCAGAAATTGGTTGAGATGAGATCTTGCAAACTTCTTACTCAGACTGGCCTCATACTGCAATCTTCCTCATATCTACCCTCCCACGCACCCACACATAGCTAGGATTATAGGCTTGAACCACCATACCTGGCTAAAATGTTTATTTTTTTAAAAAAGATTCAGGGAACTTTAAAAAAAAGAAGCGCTAAACTGGATGTGGTGGGGTAAACACCTGTAATTCCAGCACTTACTGCCGGAGGCCGAGGAAGGAGAATCATGAGTTCCAGGCCAACCTGGCTACCTGCCGAGACCCTGTCTAAAAAACCAAGGTCATCACAAACCAGACAAACAAAATAAACCACAAGAGTTGTGTAACCACAATTCTGAACAAGCAATCAGTACCTTGAACTGCACAGTTTGATGTAATCCCATCTATCAGTTTTGCTCTTGCTCCTGTGTTTTTATAAAGCCAATGTTGTAGAACCTTCTCTCTGTTTTTATAATAGTGTTATAGTCCTAGGTCCCATTTAAATTTTAATCCTTTTCAGTTGATTTTTGTATATAATGGGAGACGAATTATTTACTCTTCTCCATGTGGATATCCAGTTTTCCTACACGATTTACTGAAGAGACTTCCTTTCCCCCTGGTGTGTTCTTGGCACGTTTGTTGAAAATTAGTTGAACATAAACGTGTGGATTTATTTCTGAGCTCTCTATTCTGTTTATCTCTGTAGCCTTTTAATGCCAGTTCCATGCTGTTCGCTTTCTGTAGCCGCATAATGCCTTCAGCCTTGTTCATTGTGCTCCAGATGGCTTTTGCTATTTGTACTTTTTGTGTCTGAGTCTGAATTTGAGATTTTTTTCCTGTTAATGTGAAAAATGTCCTTGAAATGTTCATAGTGATTTCGTTGAACCTCTAGATGGTCATGGGATAGCCTTTCATTTGTGTCTTCAATTTCTTCTCAGGGATTTTTGTTTAACTTTTTTTTTGGCAGATCTGGGGTTTGAACTCAGGGCTTCACACCTGCTAGGCAGAGTGTCTGCCACTTAGCCCCAGCTCCAGCCCATGTGTCTTCAGTTTCTTTTGTCAGCCTTTCATAGTTTTCCATGTACAGATCTTGCCCCTCCTTCGTGCAGTACTTTTTTAGGTATCTTACTTTCCTTATGGTTGTTGTAAAGGGGATTGTAACCGTATCCTTTCACAGTTTGTGGTTAGTGTGTAGAATGCTACTAGTCTTGTAAATTGTTTTGCACCCTACAACTTTAATGGATTCATTTATTAGTTATAACAGTTTGGTTTGTTTTTTGATGGAGTGTTCAGGATTTTCTGTACCTAAGATGATGTTGAGTGCAGAGACAACTTAACTTCTTCCTGATTAGGATGCCCTTTGTTTCTTTCTCTTGTCCAATTGCTCTGACCTGGACTTCTAGTACTGTGTTGAATAGAAGGGCAAGAGTGGCCATATACTTTTAAGCTTTCAGCTGTTCATCATAAGTAAGATATTACTTAGCTGTGCCCTTGTTCTTCATGCCTGTATTGTTCAGAAGTTTTATCCCTCCTCCTTCTCCTTGTCCTTTCTTCTTTGAGAGTCTTCAGGGAAATGTTGCCAAGAACAGCCTCATCCTGTAATCCTAGCGACTTGGGAGGCTGAGAGCAGGATGATTGCAGCTCATGGTGAGCCTGGGCCACCATGGACCCCATCTCCAAAATCACCAGAGCAAGATAGGCTGGAGGGTGGCTCACGTGTAGAACACCTGCTTTGTAAGTGTGAAGCCCTGAGTTCAAACCTACTTCTGCCCCCCAACTCCCCCCCAAAAATGAATAAAAGGACACAAAGGGGATGAAGTGTCACAGGTGCTCTCCAGGAGCACAGATCATCACAGATCAGACACAGAGAGAAGCAAACATATGTATACCACTGCATTTTGTAGAATATATTGTTATTGTATTTTATCATTTGTCTTTTCAGCATCTGTTAAAAGGACCAAATTTTGTTTTTTAACAATCTTGATCATGATTATATGGTTTTTATATGTTTCATTCTATTAATGTGGCATATCACATTTATCAACTTGTGTAGGTTGAACCAGCCTTGCTCCCAGGGATAAATCATACTTGATCATGGTGAATGAGCCTTTCAATTTGGTTTGGTAGTATTTTGTTGAAGATTATTATATCTATGTTCATCATGGATATTGGCCTGTGGGTTTCTTTAACTTTGATGTCCTTATGTGGCTTTGGCATTAGGACAATGGTATGGCCTCATAAAATGTTTTGGAAGTTTTACTTCCTGTTCAGTTTGTTTGGGAAGAGTTTAAGAAGGAATGAAATCAGTTTTTCTGTGAATGACTGGTAAAATTCATTAGTGAAGTGCTCACTTTGGCAACGATACAGAGATTAGCCATCCTCTGCAA